CTAATTCTGTTTAAAAATAAAGTGAAATGAAAGACATAAAGCAGCAGCCCCTCCCCAGGGCCTTCATGGTCACCTCTCTCCTCCCTGCGGACTCCGCAGGGCCCCACACGGCACCCCACTTCTCGGCCTGCCTGGTCTTGTGTTGGGCTCTGGGTTATTTTCCGTCTTCACAGCCATAGTGGTGACCCGCTTGCTGAGTGGCTCACGAATCTGTCCTCTTGACAGGTGCAGGTCAGACGCTCGACAATGGTGTGTTGACTGAAAGGAGCCTGTAGCTACAGTTACTCGCCCATTTCCTGTGACTTGTCATCTCTTGGGCCTTTTCCAAGTACGTTCACATATACAGTCAATTTTGTTGTTGTTGGTGGTGGTCATGGGGCTTGAACTCAGGACCTGGGTGCTGTCCCTGGGCTTTTTTACTCAAGGCTAGCACTCTACCCCTTTGAGCCACAGCGCCACTTCCAATTTTCTGGTAGTTCATTGGAGATAAGAGTCTCTGGACTTTCCTGCCTGGGCTGTCTTTGAAGTGTGATCCTCAGATCTCAGCCTCCTGAGTAGCTAGGATGACAAGTGTGAGCCACCGGCGCCCGGGCAAGTCAATTATTCTTAATGACCTCAGAGCCAGGCCCCTTGGCTTCCTCCCCCCTTGTTCCACATCTTCCACTCATTTCTTGCCTTATCTTGAGAGTGCTGAGAAAAAGAAGAGAGCAATGGGCCCTTTTAGGCAATTTCACTCTCTCTAATAGCTTAGTTGAAATGATTGATTCCAGAATTCCTTTGCACCTTATATATATGTGGAATAAAAAAAATCCCTGTGTTTTATATATGCAGTGCCTTGAAAAGGGCTTTGAAGAAGTTAAAAGCTCGGGATAAATGTGAGATATAATTATGGATGCAAGTAGTCCCATTAACCTCGGTAATTGAGAGTTGGTTATACATTTAAGGTTTAATTAGTTTCGATAGAAGAGTAGCTCACACTTTTTTAATAGGTATACCCAGACAAGGGCTTAGAAAACTTCCCTTTGATATGATGATGTACAATGATGCTTATCAAAATGAACTCTAAGAAATGAAAATAAGAAATGTTTTATTTTACTTTTTGTGTTTTTTTTTCTGTTTTTCCCTTCTGTCACTGTTTTTGGTTTCTGTGCCCTTTGTCCTGTGTGTAATTTTGTCTGATTTGGGGAGGGGAAGGAGAAGTACAGAAACAGTGGCACAAATGGTGAACTAATTCAGCAGTGGTAAGCGCCGGGCACTTTGAAAATGAACTCACAACTTCAGAGGGAGGGGGATGAGGGAGGGAAAAATTGGAGGAAACGAGGGGAGAGGCGACGCTGTTCAAACTGAAACGTACTCATCACCTGACTTAGGTAACTGTCACCCCTCTGTACATGAAAGTAAATATAACAAAACCGATGCAATAAAAATAAATACAAACAAAAAAAGAACACTTGCCTTTGGCTCGCGTTTTTCAAAACCATCAAATCAAGATCAAGTTTGAGATTCAATCAAAGACTGAAAGGTTGGTGGCAATGACTTTTTTAATCAACAAGTTAGAAAAGGAAAATGGTACTAAATTTTTTTAATTCCAGGTTTCAATTTTCAGACAATGAGAATATAATTTCCCTTGGGAGGAAAAATTAATTAGGTTGCTCTTAGAAGAAAAAAAACTCCTCAAAAATAGAATTTTTTTCTTTGTATTATTTAAAGGTGGTTTTGGTTTTGTTTGTGCTGGTACTGGAGCTTGAACTCAGGGCCTCGTTTTCTCATTTGGCTTTTTTCTGCTCAAGACTAGAGATCTGCCGCTTTTTTTCCAATTTTATTTCGTTGGAAGGTGATGCACAGAGTGGCTGCACTTACATGAGTAAGGTGATGAGTGCATTTCGAACATTTCCTGTTGAACAGTGTTACCCCTCCCTCATTCTCTCCCACTTTCCCTCCCCTCCGACTCCTCTCCCCCCAAGTTGTCAAACTTTATACCCCTACATATAATCAGAAAGTAGACAGCCTCTTTGTTTTTAAATTGCAATGAAATCAACCTAATAATTATATTTCTCAAATTTATTGTTGCATTTGATCCTCAGGACAGCAATGTCCTTTGATGTCATGGTTACCATTTTATGAATGAGGAAAGCCACGTCAGAGAGCATCTTCCTCGAGGTCTCAGAAGAACTCACCCAGGACGTTGGCTTCAGACTCATGGTTCCCCACAACCACGTCAGAAAGCACACAGCAAAGGGACAGCTAGCGCGTCGTTCTGTGGTGGCCATGGGAGACTTCAAATTCAGGACTGGAGGACACTCTGCTTCAGGCTCTATTCACAGCCCGGGAAGATGCAGAGACAGTAAAGCACAGGTTCCACGGTCTGGGCTCTTACCATGTGTCTGGTCAGGTCAAAAGACAGAGACCAACGCTGCTGCAACACAGGATGGGGAGATGCAAACCCTTACCCAGCCAGGAAGAAGGCAGCATCCAAAGACACTCTGTGCACAAGGGACGCTCGGCTAAGGCAAGGATTAACCCAGAATATAGAGGGAGGAACGAGGGGACGAGACGGAGAATCTGCCAGGCTTGTGTCCATTCTAATCGTGCATGCCATTCAAAAAGTTAATAGATACGTGTAAAAGTTAGCAGATGAATTTTTCAATTAACTTGAAAAGTTCGTAAATAAAAGTTCGGGAAGGTCTTAAATAGAACTGGCCAGTGTGATTTCTCCTGGGGATGGAGCTCGGTGGGTGGGGGAGGGGAGGGAAGGAGAGGTAGAGCAAGACCTGTGGCTTTTCTTTATAAATCCTTTCTTACCAATAGATTTTTAAGAATTACTTTCTTCAGTGTATTTACTGTATTACCTTTAAGTGGCTGTGCACAGGGCTTCACAGCACAGGTCAGGTTATACACAGAACACGTCTGGACCCAGGTGACCTCTTTTACCCTTCTGCCCACTTCCCCACCCTCACTCAGCCTTTGGCTCCACTTTCACATGGACATAGACAACTGTGTTTGTCCACCCTTCCTGAGTCCACAGGTGTAAATTCAAGCCCAGAACTGGCGCACACACACGTACAAAGCAATCTTGCCTAGTGTATATTCAAGCCCAGAACTGGTGTACACACACGTACAAAGAAATCTTGCCTAGAAATGAAACCATGAGCTACATCTTGGTTTGCCTTCCTCCCACACCAATAACCTCTTTCAAGTGCAGTTTAGATTTCCGAAGCATCTTCATCGGAGAACATCATCTTCTGCTTCCAGACAGCAAGTGTATCTGCCTGTAGCTGTACAACAATACTAACACCCCCAAAAAATGATTTCCCTATTATTTCACTTGAAAACACCACTGTAGTTAAGTCTGAAATAAATAAGGATCCCAGGAGGTGTCCATTTCTATTGAATGGGCAAAGAAAACCCACCTAACTCACAATACCGTAAACAAAGGATGAACGCACTGATGGGTCATGCATCCGAACGTCACTGTGAGTAGCAGCTCCACGACAGGTCCTGGGATGGGCTTAGGCACCAAGACTAATGAAACGTAGGCTCTGCTCACACCGTTCAGAATCGAGCCGTCCTGTCCTCAGACTGGCCCACGGATGGTTGCTGGCTTTGTAACGAGAACCCACAAGCAGGCAGAAATGTAACTGTCGTACACCGACCGCTTGAGTTGCTTGATTATTCAGCTGAAGAGAAGATGTGGTTTGTGGAATATGCCACAGAGCTCGGACACAGAGAGAGGACGGGTATGCCTCCAGAGATGCCTGTCTGTCGGCTCCCTGGTTCTGAAGCCGGGTGCGCATGCTAGCACTTACAACTCCCAGTGCAGAGCGAGGCTGCTTGGGGCTTTTAAAACACCGTTTCCTCTACTGCTTCCCAAAATAACAGGGTCACTTGGGGACCAGCACACACAGTGGTTGGCCCTGTGTCATGATTCCCAGGAGCACCAAGAGTTCGGGAGAAGAGCAAGTGTTTTCACAGCTGCTGGTGTGGGTGCTGAGCTTTCTAGCGTCGGTGAGAATTGTGGCCAAATGGAAATACAGCAGTGGAAGCCAATCCTCCAAGGAATGAGTGAGGCCACGTCACCCCAGATCACACAGCCACATCAGATTATCTCCGCCACTGAGACAAGGCAAAGACATATATTTGGGCTGGAAAGGTGGCTCAGCAGCAGAGTGCTTGCCTAGCATCCATGAACCCCTGGGTTCAATTCCTCAGTGCCACATACACAGAAAAGGCCAGAAGTGGCACTGTGGCTCAAGTGGTAGAGTGCTAGCCTTGAGCAGAAAGCAGCTCAGGGACAGTGCCCAGGCCCTGAGTTCAAGTCCTAGGACTGGCGAAAGAAAGAAAGAAAGAAAGAAAGAGAGAGAGAGAAGGAAAGTGAGAAAGAAGGAAAGAAAGAAAGAGCCATATGTTGATGGTTAACTTCTTTCTTTGATTTTGGTCATCAGCATGCCTAAGCAATTTACAGTTGGCTCTGCATGCCAACTTGCTAACCTGTCGGCTTAGATGATGGAGAGAAACAAAAGTCTCATCCGCAGCTGCGCTCATCTCCTGATACCACTGAGTCCCTCCTTGCTGCTGGTTGCTACATGACTCCACCTCTTCCCCGTATTACTGCATCTAACCTCCATCCTGGTGTCCTGAGTCCCTGCAAAATCAGTCTTTGCATTGAAGCTACACGAAAATTTTGGGAATCCAGAAACTACTGAGACAAATCTGAATCCCCACCTATACCCATGCCCACACATAAAATGTAACGTTGCCAGGCACCAGTAGCTCACACCTGTAATCCCAGCTACTCAAGAGACAGATCTTAGGATCCCAGTTTGAAGCCAGCACAGACAGGAAAGTCTATGGGTCACTTATCTTCAATTAACCACCAAAAAGCCCCAAGTGGAGCTCAAATGGTAGAGTCAGCCTTGAGGGCAAAGCTAAAGGACAGCGTTCAAGCTCTGAGTCCAAACCTCAAAACCGGTACAAAAATAATAATAATAACTGAACTTCACCTTGATTTTTTCCACTGCTCCACAAACTCGGATGGCACAGCCAAAGGTTCCGTGTCACCCACTCGCTCCTTCCGAGTCTCCATCAGCCCGCCTTCCCTGCCTAGAGCTCCCCAAGCCACCCCCTTGGTTACTTACCCTTCCACTCTGAACCTGTTTCTTTCTCTGCCCCTAGACTCAGCCACATCATCTAGTAGCAAACTCCTTTGGCACCAGCAATTATTAGATCATGACGGTGAGCCCTTCACAGAATGTGCCCTACGGTGTTTGGATGATTGCTTCATCGCTACCTATTCTCATTAAACTGTGAACCCCTTGCAAGGTGGGCTCTATTTCTGCCCTTTATCCCAGAGCTAAGGAGAGGGCCTGGCACTTGTCTGGCATTAAATAAATACATTCAGAATGCAGAATTAATGAATAAAGTAAGTGGCAAATTGACATTGCTAAAATACAACTGAAGAGGTTTAGAATCTTAAATGAATGATAACAGTAGGTAACTTTCCGTGTGAGGCACTGTTCTAAAGTAGATGTGTGTACATGCATATGTACATACATGCATGCATGCAGATATACTAGTTTGTTTCACACATCAATCCTATGAGGAAATTATTTTTATTATTCCCACTTCATAGATGAAGAAAATGAGCCACAAAATGAATACTCAAAAATGTCACCGGTGGAAATGCAAAATGCTGGGTGGCAGGTCCATGGATACAGAGGTGGCAAGCTCTCCCTTATGTGTGGAAGCTAGATTGAGCTTATAAAATTACAAGTACACAGGTTGAGTCATGTGGAAGCATGTACAAATGTATTAACTGAAATACAGAAGATTCAAATAGTGTGATTCCTTAGAAAGGCAAAGGCAAAGTTCAGCAAAATAAAACTCCAGCATGCACAAAGGGATGGGATGGGGTCCGGGGGAGAGGGGGGCGAGTGAAAAAGAGAAGTTGGGAGAAGGCAGTCAGGAATGCAATGGATGCCCTGCAAAATTATGAAGAGGGAGGGAGGGGGGAGGAAGGGGGGAGGACATTGAGAGGGAGGGACATTGATGGGGGCGCAGTGTGTTCATAAACTGCTTTGTTACATGGAACTCCTTTGTACAACTACTTGCAGATCATTTTTTAAGGACATGAAAGCCTTCCTTGTAGAGGTATTAGGAGTATTATACCACAAGCAGTCCATCTACTCCGGGGAACCGTTAACACAACCACTTTAAGAGTTTTATCCACGAGCACTTTCAAGGGTCAGGGATTTATCTTGTGTGGCATCGGGCTTTGAAAGTAGGAAACTCTGTGTCTTCTTTACAAATGTGTTGGTCATCTCAAGAAATAAGAAGAGAGAGAAAAAATTTATCTGGATTTCTGTTGTGTGTGCGTCGCTTTTCGAGATGAAATTCTCCCACAATCATAAGGATCGGCTGATCCGAATGAGCATCGTGCAAAGCCTGGTCTATCTGCACCTCATTGTTTTCCAATGAGTATGTCAGCTATCCAAGAGACAAACAAACTGGGAAAGAAAAGAGAGAGAGAGAGCTCAGAGTGTGGAAAAAAGAGAAGAGCATTGTCCGAGCAAGAAAGCTGAAAGAGGGTGAAAAGAACTGTGCTCTCCCTGAAGTGTCCAGGATGCCCTTGGTCACCTGGGATTACCTGAGGCCCAGCCTGGGGCTGAGATTCAGACAGGACAGGGTCTCCTGCGGAAGGCTGGGAGGGAAGAAGGGCTGGAAAGGCAATTTAGATGGAGTAGTTCCCTCGATTTGAACTTCTGGAGGTAACCGGCACTCATTTTCCTGGGTCAACAACTGTTGGGGAAATGACTGGTAGGAATATATTAGTCCAAAGATAGAAACAGAATTGGATGGTGCAAAATCGAACTACTCTTAACTCCACTCACAAAATGAAATCAGACTCAGTCAGAACCACGTAAAGAGAGGAGGGCAGAAGAGAGCGCGAGGAGGAAGGGAAAGAGGAGGAGAATGAATTACAGCAGAAAGTATTAGGGAAAGTACCCAGAAATAGGGATTAATAAAATACAAGAGAGGGCATGAGCTCTGGCATCCAGGTACTGGGGCATAAATCCAAGGTCAATAACCTACTAGTTGTAAACTCTGCAAAGTTCGTGTTTCTGATCTTTAAAATTAGTATTATAGCTGGCTCACGCCTACAATTTTAGCTACTTGGAGGCTGATATCTGAGAATCTTGATCTGAAGCCAGTCTGGTAGACAAATCTTTGTTACTGTTATGTTCAATTCACCAGCAAAATGCCAGAACTGGAGGGATGGCTCAAGTGGTAGAGTACCAACCATGAGTGTAAACACTGAGCAAAAGCTCAAATCCCTAAGTTCAAGTCCCGATACACACACATACACACACACACACACACACACACACACACACACACACACGCACGCACACGGACCATAAAGATATCTACTTTGCATGATTATTTTTGGAGGAATCAAGCATCTTAAATGAGCATGATATTGTAAATCTATAATCCCAGCACTCAGGAGTTTATGGCAAGAGAATCGTTCTCATCCAGTCTGAGATACATGAGGAGATCATCTCTCTCTCTCTCTCTCTCCCCCCCCCCTCTCATATCACCACAGCACACTGTAAATAGTCACTATAACTCCTGGTCAAAATGACCTCCACAAGTTAGGATAAACCTCCGAAGTGCTGGGTAATAATGTTGGAATAGATGAGTCGACTGGTATTAGACTCTCTTCTGGAACAACAGGCCATAGCGTGTGCTAGAACCCAGGGTCGGAGCCCCTGGCCTTGAGTTGGCGGTGGCTGTTCTGTGTCTTCATTCCGTTGCCCCTCTCTGTTTCAGCCCCCATCCCCTCTCACTCTTCCTCCCCGATGTCAGGATCCGTGCAGACAGACCAAGCAGGTCTGCAGCCATAAGGGGGAACGTTTCCTTTGGGCGGGTGCCAAGCAACTTTGGGGAGTGAGGAGAGAGCTTTTAATGACCCAGGAAGAAAGAAAATATTCATGCTTCATTTTAATTGAACTTTTCTCAAGCTCATTACATAGTTTAGTAGTTGATAAAAAAAAGTTAATGTATGAGAACGCTGAGAATAAAAGCAGACGTCGCTCTGGCTCTGTATACAGAAACAGAGAGTGTGAAGCGGGCAAAGGGAGCCTTCCATACACCCTCAGCTCAGGGGAGCTGCCTGAACCCATCTATTCCTCTTTATTTATTTACTTTTGTAAGAGCTCTGGGGTTGAGCTCAAGGCCTCGGGCTCTTGCTGGTTAATGGAAGGTAAGAGTCTCACAGAATGTCCCGCCTCAGTGCTCAGATCTCAGCCTCCGGAGTCCAGCGCCTCCTCATTCTTATGATGACGGCAATTCTCCTTGAACTGGCCCATAAAACGAGCCAGGTCACACGGGGGTCATTGCCCTAAGAGTCTTCCTGGGTGTTGGGTCTGCGCTGCCTTAACCAATCCCCGTGCCGTCCCCCGGTTAAACTGTCAAGGCGGCGCTGCTGATGGACTTCGATGACTCTGCTGGGCTCTTCTAGGCATCGCTAGTCTAGTCCCATGTGGTGGGCTCTGTGCTAGCTGCTTTAGACAGAGAATCGCCTTGAAATCTCCCAGCAGCCCTGAGAAGAAGGAACTGCTGAACTACACCCGACAGCTGATGGCGGATGGGGCTGGTTCTGCCTGGAGCCCTGCATGGACACCGGCGTGTCAGAGGCTGGCCGACCGGCATGTCAGAGGCTGGCTGACCGGCATGTCAGAGGCTGGCCGACCGGCATGTCAGAGGCTGGCCGACAGGCATGTCAGAGGCTGGCTGACAGACACGTCAGAGGCTGGCCGACCGGCATGTCAGAGGCTGGCCGACCGGCACAATGGACCTCTGTTTGGAAAGACTCACTGTCTCAGGACTGAGGCCGACAACAGAATAACTGAAGGAATATTTGTGTTCGCTGGTAGGTTTCTCTTCTCCCTGTGTTTGTTCCACGGCCTTTCTCCAATAGAAAGCACGCTTTCATTCCAGCTGTGCCTCTGGTTCACTGACTGGGTAAGAGGAACTGGAGGAAGAGTGTTTAGGCTGCAGAAACCCTTTAAAACATCTTGTCGCCAGGAGCCACTGGCTCAGGAGGCTGAGAGCTGAGGATCACAGTGTGAGACACGCCGGGAAGGGAAGTTTGTGAGACTCTTATCTCCAGTTGATGACCAAAAGACCAGAGCCAGAGCTGCGGCTCAGATGGCAGAGTGCCACCTTGAGCCAAAGCAAAGGTCTGAGAGAGAGGGCCTAGGCCCTGAGTTCAAGCCCTAGGACGGACCGTGTACACACACACACACACACTCACGCACACACACACGCACACACACACACACGTGTACATACTGGAAGAGGGGTTGGCATTTACAAAGTGTTACCTGTTTGCATCATGGCTCTTCCTTGGCTTAAGGATCCTGTCAGCGCTTGAAAACCCGACCGTAGCCCTCACTGGTGGATTTGCTTGGAAATCCGGACGTCGCTGGGCGCTGGGCGGGGGCAGCGTCTCTGCGCCTCCGCGGTGCCCGCGGTGCCCGGTGGGAGCGGCTCCCTCTCCGGCTCCCTCTCCGGCTCCCTCTCCGGCCGCGGCCCTGCGCCTCCGGCCTGCTCTGCAGGGAGCGGAGGCCTCGGCAGGGCCGCGGTTTGGCGCCGCAGGCCGCCGCCCGCCCCAGGGTGTATCCGCCGGTGTCTGCGTCCCGGGCTCTGGGTCCCGGGCTCTGGGGTCCGGGCTCTGGGGTCCGGGCTCTGGGGT